TGGGTGCCATAACTACCGGAGTATTTATGCCGGAATTCTCTTGTTGCCTTTTTTGCGGACATCCATGTCAAACACGTTTTTCTTGTTTAGTATGACCGACACGAAGAACGAAGAAGTGGTAGTTAATGACTCCGAGGCAGAAGAAGTCCCCGCATTGGCAGCCGCTGCTGAACTTCCCCCCATCTCGGCAGAAGGTGAGATGGAAGCATCGGTAGAACGACCATCCGAAAGCGATGCCCAGATTTCGTCACTTTCCTCTCCTCTTGAACGCGCCTTCGATTTTATCCAATTCCTGCGTAATTTGTTCGCCCATTTTGGTAAGCAGACTTGGTAATGTTCGTGTTTTTTTTCTTTTTTTCTTTTGGTGTATTTTGTGAACTGCGACGTCGTAATCACCAGGTACAGGCATGTGCATACGAAGACGGCGGACGAGCGATTGCAATGCACAGTCGTTTGTCCGTCCGTCGCTATGGCAACTATGCATTCTTGCACTCACAAGCAATGTTACTTCGGTTTCCTTTTCTACCCTCATCACGTTTATGTCTGGTACGTCACCGGCCACTTTATTTCCACGCGCTGTCAGCGAAAGCCAACGATGAAGGCCTCTTCGTGCGAGGTCGCATGAAACAACTGCGCGAGACCAAAAAAGACAGACGCGCACAGTATGGCTTTTTCATTCATTCGTTACAGCAATACAGCTGATGCAAAAAATGCTAGGCGTTGTGTGCAGGCTGTCGTCGCCTTCGCAGACAGTGCTTTTTGACCAAGAGAAAACAGTTTTTATTGGCGGGGAATGATTTTTTATGCTTTCTTTGTCGTCGAAAATCACAGTATTTATCTTTGGCGAGGAATCAGATGACTTATGGAATTTTAATTTGATACAAATTCACTTCCTTGGAAGAAATCGACTTATTGAACTTCAATTCTCATAGCGTTATTCCAATAGTCAACATACCTTAACTCGAGATAGTATTGATCCTGCATGACTCTGGCTACGCGACGCCATGGGGTCCCCGTGTTCCTATTTCGGACTGCTTGGGATTCGCTCGAAGGCTCGATTGATAATTCTGCATGCAGCGAGTGCTTGGGAGAATAGCTTTACGCCTTTTTCCTCCTGAGAGAAGACGTAAGCTAATTGTCGCTAGTAAAAAGGGGTCGGATTTAGGAGATAAGTAAAAACTGCTCATACCACTACCGCCTGTCTATTGGAAGGTCTGTCATCTGGCTTTCTTCTAGATAATTGCTGCTCTTATATAAATTATTCACTTCCTTTTGCTTCTGGCAGGGACATTAGACAATTATTTGTTTGCTTTCGAGCATGCGCAAACGAAAGTACAGTCGATATAAACATATTATCGACAAAGGCAAGGTAAACCCTAATGTCCATTTATGGCATATTGGCCGTTATTAGGCAGCACGTGGTCCATGCTTAGAGCGTTAGGCTTCTATCCAACAAGTCGTATTTTAGGTCCTCGGGTCGGGAACGGTTGACTGATGACGGCTAACAAGCCAGAAGTTACGAGTCTAGTCACCGTAGTTTTTGTCGGTATTTTTCTTCTGTCATGATAGCCGCTGAGGCTCTAGCGTGAGCCCCAAAGCACGACGAGACGAGTGAGTCCCATTAACGGATCAGCGAACGGATATCTGCCATTGAAAATACAATTTACTGAAATCGTGTGAGCAGGAAGGACTGGAAGGGGGGGGTATATTCGTACGATACTTCAGAATTATTTTCGAACCCATCGCCCGAGAGGGCAACAGGTAAAGGCAGCGGATGCACAGGTGTCACACTAGTTGTAGGATGCCTCTCCCACGCATCCATACATAAGAATGAACAACTTTTACATCACTCACGGATATTTGTTCCCCGCATCCCAATTGTTATTGGCCTTGATGCCATCACCGGCGCCTGTCATAGGCTTGGTAACGACTCGAGTATTTCGTTCAGCAGTACCGTTACTTCTGTAGCAGCTAAAGATTTTGGGGTAACACACCCTTAGAGTACCTAGAATAGCATCCGGTTTAAAACGAGTGGAACAGGATTGTGAGATACATCGTCGTTCTCATCCAGACAACAAGCTAGAAGAGCTGTTAAGTAGGTAAACAACAATGTACTATAAACAAGGATGCATTCACTATATAAGGAAACAGTTTATGATACAAAGAAAAAGAAGAGTTATATCTAGGAGATGATCTGGCTGGATGACAGGTGAGGCCCTCATGATAGCTGCACAACCGCTGGTGAGTGCAGCTTTGTAAGCAACTGCAAGTAGTGGTTGCGAAACATGCCGACATAGAACGAGAGGGACAAGCGTGGTGACAAATGTTGTGAGAGTGTACTCATCAGCTGTGAGGACAGGGGCATGGACGGTCTTTGTCAACACAAGGTTACACCATCTCCAATCCAAATCCGCGCCATAAGTATCCACTATTCAAACAACTGAGTCCAACTCGCGGGGTGTTACACTGGAAGCAACGCTTATGCACATGCTTCCCATGTGATTACTTGATCTGCCCATGCTCAGTCATAGGCTTAAGCATGTGTGGGGAGCTCGTTGCATTGGTTGCTGGACTGCAGGCCTCAGAATCAGAACTGAAGCAACTTGCCATTCACCTCTGGCGGGGGAATTCGGTCTCATAAAACAGCAGCTGAAAAGTACGTCGACGTGGAACGTGTCCTCCGAATAATTTCTTGAGTTCGCCGTTTACTGGCGTGTACTGGCTACTTGTGTCTCCCGTCTGATTGTCTTGACAGGCACATTCGGCGTTGCTTTACGTTTGCCTTCTTAAAAGGCATTTTTGCTAGCGAGCACCACAGTTATACTGAGAATACAAAGAGGTTTCAGGAATGTGGGAACTTGAAAAAAAACCCGACAGACCTAATACAGCTCTGAAGTCGATTTTCATACATTCTCGTGCAAAAACTCTATTCTGCTATCTGTAGGTACGCTGTGCTTTGTTTTTAAGCGCATTATCAAAGAGGAAATAATAACCCATATCTTTCCAGATTTCATATGCTCTAGATCGCGTTCAAGTACCTGATTCACTTGCACAGCGTATTCTCTAGTTACTTTTGTATTTTTTTCCAACAAATTTACAATTAACATTTCGTGGTCTGATTCCGTTTCCAACATAATCTCGCTGAGCAGTGAGGACAGTGAAGTAGAAATTGGACAGAACTTGAAATTATCTTATCCTACGAGATTTTCTGTCGTACGAAAATCGTTAGAAACTGTGGCTTGTGAGTGGCAAGACCGACAAGAAGGGCAGAATTTGCAATGAGGTCCTTCTTCTCTAGTTTCCGTCACTTTCGATGATAACCCGCAAGTCAGCTCACTGTTCTATGGTACTGCCTTAGACCCTCATTGAAGTGTAACCAAACTTATAAGTACGATGCCTCACAGGAAAACGAACTGTGAATAGTGCGCACCCTGTGCCTCTCTCACCCCTTTCTGCGATTATCTCTGACGATGGGTTCGAGCAAAAATCCAAAACGCCAGGCGAACAAATTTCCTGTTCCAGCAATCACATCCTCTTCCGAAAACCTAATCAGTTATGTAGAACCTCTTGGCAGTGTAACTCAAGTGCAGCAATCAGTTTCTAAGTATTTCTGTTTGTCTTAATCTCCCGTGAAATATATTTCCTTTCATAACGTAAATTACATCCTCCGACCCGTTTCTTTCACAAAATGTGTACGAAAATTTTAGTTTCCTTTAAATGGTTGTCTCTCCTTTTCTCATTTTTAGATGGAACGACAAAAAAGGCAGCCGTGACCGTACTTGTTCTCAGCGGTAAGTTGACTTCCTTCCCTCGGCTAACTGAACCAATCATATTTAGTGCTGATTTCGGTGCCATATCTGCATAAAGTGAGTTCAAATACTGGTTTTTGAAGTACTTTTGAAGGGCCCGCTCTATCATTTTTATCCTTAAGTATGCCTTACTTGATGCACGCTGCATGCACCAAACGTGTCGTACGAGGCACCCTTTTTAAGCATTTCCTCCTGTATTCCCCTTTTCCACAAACGCAACTGCACATGCCCTCTCTCTTCCCACTTCCTCTCTCCGCAAAGGGCGCCTTTGGAGATACTAGGGTCGTTTGGAAAGATTAAGTCCAACACGACAGAAAGTCTGCTCCACGATAAATCAAACCGTCGGAGCTATCAATGCCTAATAGACAGTGCAAGCCTAACATGCTGCGTCACATTGTCGTTAGTTATCACACCACTTCCTCAGGCCGGTCTCGCATGCAGTATTTTGTGTAGGTAGTTCACTAACCGTTTTTTTGAGACCCGCAGACGATTTGCTGTGTGCTGCGCTCTCCTGAAAGTCGTTGAATACACCACGGCTTCTTTTCAAGGTAGACTCGACTGAGGGGCAAGCCAGTGGTAGCTAGCTGTACCTAGCATATGACAAATGGAAAGTTCCGACCCTCCACCTAAGCTGGTTCTGGCTGAGGTTCGGTGGCACCTTGTCTTCACAGGCTGTTTAGTGAAAGTTTGTGCATCAAACAGCGCTACCAAAAGAGGTGCATTTATT